GCAGTGGAAGCGTGGAGTCCTAACCACTGGACAGCCAGCGAGGTCGCTCTTCAATGACTTTTATTTCCTCCTTATTTTCTGCTTACTTAGAATTTATTTTGCCTTTCTTTTTCTAGTGTCTAACGGTGAATGCTGAGGTCAGTGATTTTCTAATGTAGGCATGGATTTCCCCTATGTACTGCTTTAGCTGCATCCACAAAATGTAATATATTTTTACCTTCATCCAGTTGAAAATGCTGTCTAACTTTCCTTTTGGTTTCTTTGATACACAGGTTATTTAGCTGTTTGTGATTTAGTTTCCAAATATTTTGTGCCTTTTCTAGATATTTTTTAATTATTGATTTCTAATTTAATTCTGTTTCAGTCAGAGAATATACTTTGCATGATTTGAATAATTTTAGACTGTTTTCTGGCCCAGAATATGGTCTGTCTTGGTAAATGTTCAGTGAATACTTAAAATTGTGTATTATGCTGTTGTTGGATGGAGTTTTCTACAAATGTCAGTCAGATCAAGCTGTTGATGGTGCTGTCCTGGTCTGTCATCCCTTTACGAGGCTTCTATTCGTTCCACTGAATATGGAGGGGAGGGTGTTGAAAACTCCAGCGACAGTTGTGCGTTTGTCTCTCTCTCCACAGTTCTGTCTGGTTTTGCTCCAAGAATTCTGAAGCTCTGCAACTAGATGTATAAACTTTTAGGATTTTTATGTCCTCTTGATAAGTGTATCCCTTTACCATCTAAAACGACCCGCTTCATCCCCGGTAACTTCAAGGCAAAGCCTTTTGCGTACCCTACTCAGTGTCCTGTTGGTTATGTGGCTTTTTACTCTGACTAGTGGGAGCAGGAACTATTCCTGCCCCGTTTGGCTAACGGTATTATTTCTGTAGCTCTTTCAGGTGGCGCTCTCTCCTGCCTCAGCAGTTTCATCCCATGTGTGCTCTGGTCTGTATTCAGCTGGTCTCCAGGGGGAGTCTCTGCAGATAGCAGTCCCTTCTCTGCACAGGAACTCCCCCCCAGGGAATGCCAGCCTTCCCGGCCTCCTCAGGCTCCCGGCCGAGTCCCCTCAGCTCAGGGAGACCCCTGCCCTGCCCCTTGGTCACCCTCCCTGCCCTGCAGCCTGCAAGCTCTCTCTGGGCAGTGAGCAGAGGCCGTCCTACAGCTGAGCTCACTTGTTCCCCGTCCCACAGGGACCACTGACCCTCATTGTTTGATGTCCGGTGTCTTGAAAACCTGCTGCTTAATTATCTTGCGTGGATTTAAAAAATTCATACAAGCTGTTCTACAAACAACTACTTTATTGTTTCTCCCTGTCGCATTGCACCCATAGTGTGTATGCATCACATTCTGCTGATTCATTCCCCTAAAGATGGGCAATTAGGTTGCCAACTCTGCTACACAAACAACAAACAGCCTTGAATGCGTCTCTTGTGGGTCAGAGTGAGAATGTTCCGGAACATATGCTCAGGAGAGAGCTCCTGGGGTGTGTCTAGTCCACTAAGCCCAGCTGCGTTACTCCTCAGAGAGCCTCTGCCAGCCTCGCAGGAGCCGCCCTCGCCTGGGTTCTCACCTGCCCTTGGTGTCCCTCCACTCCTAATTGTTATTTTTCTGATGGATGTAATCTGGTGTCTCATTACTGTTTTATTTCTCTTACTCTTAGTGAGTCTGAAAGCCCCTTCCCATACCTGTCGACGCTTTGGGCTTCCCCTTTTTGAACTGCCAGTTTACAATATCTGTCCATTTACCATCTGGTCTCCTGTTTCCTGTGATTTATGGGAGGTGTTTCTATATTCTGGACATTCATTACTCGTCGGTGTTAGACACTGAAACATTTTTGTCCTTCACCTGCCCATTATCCCTTCTGTCAGGCAGATGACAAACGCATGTGCCTCATGGGACCATACTGTAAATTAAATGAGATAATACACACCAAGCCTGACACCTATGAAACATGCAAAGGTGTTATTTATCATCATTGTTACTCAAGAATCCCACCCAAAGACATACAAAAAAAACTATCAGGGGCTCTTGGTACATTGGGATGTTCCATGAATACTGCGACCTGTGGGTGCCATTGTAAGTTGAAACCTGGACCCAGAAAGGCCACAGAGAGCTCACCTCCCATGACAACATGGAAATGGACTGGGGAACAATGAGGATTACACAGGTAGATGACATCGCTCAGGTGACACACAGGGTCAGGGTCCTGAGCGTTGGTGTTGGGTCTCTGAGCAAATGTAAGCAGTTGGGGGAGGAGCTGGTGTTTAAGTTAGAATTCCCTTCACAGTCTACATTTTCTACAGGAATTCACTTGGCTGGACCCCTGGCCTCCAGCTTTGTCCCTCTTGCAATTCTCCTGCCAAGGATGTCTTCTCTGGCCACCTCTATGGCCATACCACTCCACTCGGTAAAGCTCCAGGAGGATGGCTCACTATTACACTTTGCTTTGGTCCTAACCCCCACTCTAGGGTTGAAACCTCCTTTTCTGGCCCACTTAACTCTCACTTTTTCTGCCCATCAGCTCCCTCTGCCTTTCTCAGGGATATGTGGTCGGCACCCAGGGGGCCAGGTGGTCCTGTTCTGCTGAACAACTTGTCCTCATGTCTGACTTACCAAGCGTCTCTCCTTTCATCCCACGTGTTCTCTCCCAAGACTTCAACTGCTGCTCAACCCTTCCCAGATGGAGCAGAGGAGAGGTGCCACCTTTTTCTGATTTTATCCTTTACAAACATGACATAGGTATTGAATTCATCAAATATTCACTGGATCAGTTCCACCAGGAATTGCTTTTTTGTTCAGCGTAAGGTAGGGGTCCAATTTCAAGTTTTTTCCTAAGTAGAGCCAATTGTTTTAGTACAGAGTATTAGACGATATTTCCTTTCCCAACTGCTCAGCAGTGCCAACACCCTCATAAATCAAGTTTTCAGATTTTGTTCCATTGGTGAACTTGTCTATCCCCATACCCATACCATAGGCTCATTACTGTAGTTTCTGAGTACATTTTGACGCCTCCTAGGACAGTTTCCTTCTGTTTCCTCCTTCTCTTTCTTCTCCTAGAATGTTTTGGCTATTATTCAGCCATTGTTCTTCCATATAAATTCTAGAATCAGCTTGTTAAATTTCTTTTTAAAAAGCCTGTTGGGATTTTAATGAGAATTTCTTTTGTAGGGCGATTTGGGGGAGAAAGGACATATTTCTGACACTAAGCCTTCCTATCCATGAATATGGTCAACAGTTCTCAACTTATTCAGGTCTTCCTTAAGGTCTTTTAATCAAATTTTATAATTTTTCCTTAACACTTTAAAAAAAAGTTATATTTTGTCTCTTCTTTGTTTGCTCTTTTCAATGGTATGTTATAAAACTGTGTCCTCTAGTTACTGTTGATATGTAGACGCATATGTAGAATAGTCTCTGTTTGGCCTCCCAGATCCTCTCCACCTTTCTCTGCCTTTCTTTGTGCCCCAGGAAGTGTTTGTCTACAGAAGGCATCACCTGGTTAGGTTAATGGTAGACACCTGTAGAGATTAGAGATGAGTGAGGTCAGGGTGTTTATTTCCCCAGGTGCCTCCCTGCAAGCCTGTGGTTGGCAGTGGCTTCACTCCTCTGCTGAGGAAGACTCTCTCCCTGATTACTGCTTCCTCCTTTTGTCCTTTCAAGGCCAGGAGCGGTGGCCACTTCCTGAGGTTAAAAGGAGTCCCCCATGCTTTGCTTATTCACTTGACTCTGCCCCTCCTTTGTAAACTGGAGGGATTTGCTGAAATCCCTCCTGTGATCTTTCTGCGCATGCTATCTGTTTCTCGCTGGGACCATGACCGATACCATAATTGCCACCAGAAGTGGCCCCAGAAAACAGACTCAAAATGGGATGCTAGCATTGGGTTGCACATATATTTGATGAGCATGTGGCTAAAGTCCTTGCCCGGGGAAATGGAGTACCAGGAGCCTGTGTCATCCAGGGGCAACCCGATTCCTCAAATTATCACCAATGGTGGCATGGGATGTGGTGCAAGTGGAGGGCAAACAGATGTGTGGCCAAGCAGATGAGATATTTAGTCGCTATGGCAAATGCGGGGTTACAAAGACTATGCAGTGGGCTGGCTACTTCTGAGGGCTCTCGGAAGTACACACAGGAAAAGGACGGTTCACACCTCGGGTGTGTCAGCGCCCTCCAGGCAGGCCACCAGGAACACACCTGTAACTCAACAAGCCGGGATTCTTACTGGTTGCAGCTAAGGAGACCACACACCTGGGGGATGCACTCGGGGACTTCGAGGGTATTAGAAACGAACGACTCCTTATAGAATTGGGGCTTTTGTAGGTGGTTCTGGGGAGGGTTTAAGGAAGCAGGGTTTTGCTGTGGATTGGATGCTGTCTGGAAGCTTCTTAATAACTCCCATCTAGAAGGTGAAGCTGTAATGGGAAGTGGCAGCAGTGTCCCAGCTCGGGTGGCGGAGGAGGTCCACCCGTGACTGGAGTGGGCAGCATCCCTGTCTGATCGTGGTGCCTGGGAAACTGCTCGTGTCAATAGCAGAACACCAGGCCTAGGCGAAGCCAGGCCTCTCCACCTCCTCCTCGGACGGACAACAGCAAAGCTCCGTGGTCTCTAGAGAAAGCTCGGCCAGCAGCCTCGGGGCAGACCCTGCTGAGGGGCCGGCGGGAAGCAAGGGGCGGAGTCGTCAGCGCGCGGCCTCACCGCGGACACACACGGAGGGCGGCCGCCGCACCGAGTCACTCCGGTCACTCGGCGAGACGTGGCGGGGGCACAGGCCCGCTCCGGCCACGGGGCCAACCGGAGGAACCAGCACCTACAGTCCGCGGCCCCGCCCCCACGGTCCGCCCCCACCCGCCCCCAGCCCGACGCGCACGCGCACACTGCCGGCTCGGGAGCCATTTCGCGGGGCCGAGGGCGGGGGAGCGACTGCGCAGGCGCCCGGCGCCGGAAAGGGCGGGGCGGTGTTGCGCCTGCGCAATGGGCAGTGCGGGGGCGGGGCCGGCCGTCAGCTGACTGTGGCGGCGGCGGCCTTGCGGGGTAATAGTTAGATCGCGGTTCCGCGCGGAGGGTCGCCGGCGCGTCACCTCTCGGAGGGCGAGGCCTGAGGCCGGCCAGACCATGGCGACCACCGTCAGCACGCAGCGCGGGCCGGTAGGCTCCGTCTGGGGGCGGGCTCCGCGGCCTTCGGGCACAGGGGAGGGCCCGACGCCGGGCTCCCGGCAAGCGGAAGGGAGTTCCGGGACGGGGGCGGCCCCGCCCCTGGTGGGTCCCCGGGTTGGGGGAGGCCCCGCACCCAGTGGGTCCTTGGAAGGAGGAGGCACCCAGAGAAGCACCCTGAACCCTGGACAGGCTCTTGGATGGTGGAGGCTCCCAGGCCCGGCTGTGTTCCTCGGTTTCTTAAGTGACAAATGAGGGTCTGGGAGCCGCGAGCTGGGAGTGCCCTTCCGCGCAGCCCTCGCGTCCTGTTTTCTGGCTCAGCTTATTGTGTCACTGCCGGCGAGCGAGTCCAGACGGGCTCAGGCCGGCTCCTGGGGACTCGCCTCCAGCCGGGCGTTCAGACTGGGTTGGGGTGCGTCCTCACGAGTAGTGAGGTTTTTATCACAGCGTCTTGAAACGTACGGTAGACGGACACCTGGGTCCTTCTGAGTCGGGACAAGGTTCTTCTGTGGACACTTCGATGTGCCTTCTCTCAGAAAGCCGCTGCTGAGGGGAAGCCCCCGGCTGCCGGGGCTCCTCACCCTCGAGGCGGGGTTGACAAGTCTTGCTTGTGTCTCTCCCGACGGGAGAGGAAACCACAGAACGTTTCTCTGAGTTTGAGGAAGACCAGGTCTTGTTAGAAGCCCCCCTGGGCACAGATGCTCGTTCTGAGCGTTTGAATGGGACCTGATGGGAGTTCCTAGCCGACTTGGGTGCGGAAACGCCCCAGAGTCAGTAGAGTGATTTCTAGACTCGGATTCTCAGCGTTTCCACGTCTTCACCGTCGCTGCGTATAGTGAGTTGCAGCAGGCCGAGTGTCTGTCGGCACCCTCTCATTTCTGTGCAAGTGGCTCATCAGAGCAGCACAAGGAGCAAATTAGTGGCTCCCTCGGGAGGGGAGCGGTGGCGTAATGGGCAAGCGGCCCGGCCCCGTTCCCGGCCTGTCACGTGTCCTCAGCCTGCTGGGAACTCAGAGCCCTTGTCGTCGGGAACCACAGGCAAACACACACAGCAGCTCGGGGCCAGGCAAAGGGAGCGCTTGGTGAAGGTGGGCCCCTCCTCTCACCAAGGGGACGTCGGCCATGTGCTGTGACAGGGCCAGGGCGGCGGACGGTGTCCGGACTTGGGGCCTGTGCTGTCGGGGTCTCGATGACCCGGCTGACTGGCCCTGTGCGGCGCTTCCCGGCGTGTTCTCTTGTCGAGTGGTCGTGGGCCTTCTGTCCGTGTGTCGTGGGCCCCATGCGTAGACCAGCAGGTGTTTGAGGGCTGCCCTCCATGCTTTGCTGGTGCAGTAAGGTTCGGTCTGGGCCAGAGCTGCTGGGGCCTCAGGGGTCTTGGGCGCCCTGGAGCCTGTGCGGCTTGCCCAGATGGCGTGGGTGCTCTCGGTATCTTGGGCGTACGGTGACGCCTGCCATCAGGGTCTCACAGAGCATCCACTCTCAGACCCTGAGGTCTGAATTCAAGTCGGGGTGAACGGTGGCCTGTCGGGGCCGGGGCCAGGGCCGGGCTGAGTAAGGGTGTTGGGGCAAGGGTCTCTGACTGGAGACTTGATGGGGTAGCAGGAGCTGTGGGGTGGTGGGAGGGGAGAGCATGGAAAGCAGAGTGGGACAGGGTCTGGGAGATGGGGGGCTGCTGCTTCAAGGCCAGGAAGGGTCCTGAGCAGGGCTGTCTGTGCCAGAGGGCAGGGGCCCGCCAGTGCAGGTACACCTGGCCTTGCGTTTGATCTGGTTGCTACAGTGGACTGTTTACTGTTTACTGGGGGTTTTTTTCCCCAAAATGTTTTTGCCTGGTACACATCCTCTCGTTTCCACAACTCCCCGCTGGCCCACCCCCTCTGGGTTAACCGTACTCGTAAAGGCTTTCTTGCCGGTTATCAGACCTGGAGAACCCTTCCTTTTGTGGTTTTCGGGGTCCGGTGGAGACCTCTTCCTTTGCCAGGGTGTATGGACTTGGCGTGGAAGGAGCTCCCACGTGCTGTCGTGTGTGTGGTGCGGTGGAGGCCCCGCGGGACGGCGTGGCTCGTGGCAGAAGCTGTGAGTCCAGCTGGGGCATCCGGCAGGTGCTCCCCATGCCGGGTCCTGGCTGGGCGGCTCTCCCGAGAGTCCGCCCTCGGCCGGGGGGGCCCCAGCCCTACCCACACAGGACGGGCTTCAGCCTCAGCCCAGGGTCACTCAGCAGGGCTCCCAGGGCCTGGGTTCACGCTCGCTTGGGCTGACTGAAGTCTGACCGTCTCTTCCCGCTCGTGGTGAAGGAGGGACAGGCAGAGTCCTCGGGCCTGGTCCCGCAGGTCTGGGGAGGTTCCCTTTGTCCCTGAGAAGGGGAGCCTGAGGGGCTAGGAATTTGCTTACGTCCCAGGAGACGTGGTGTTCGCGTCTGCACGTTAGCCTTTCCCTGAACGGCCGCTGAGGGATGCCCAGCCCTGTGCCGTCTGCCCACTGTCGGCAGTGCTGGTGTTTCTGTTCTGACAGACGTTCTCCGTCCCGTGATTTTGGCTGGTCCACGAACTATTAAAAAGCACCCGATGGGCACCCATAGGAGTACCTGTGGGGGGGGGCCCGCCTTCTGAGGTAGAACTCGGGTCAGGGGGGTTTGCGGGGCCGCTGCTGCTGGCCACGGTGCTGCCGGTCAGCTCGAGGGGACGGCGGCCAAGGCTTGGGCACAGGCTAAGATGTGTGCTATGTCCCATTGAGTCCAGGCCAAAGGGGGCCAGTAGGGACCACTTGTCCTGCTTTTGGAGATGCTGGTTGATCAGTGTGGCCCCTCCTTCCTGTCACGTCTTTTCCCTCGTCAGGCCTGAGGGTGAGCTGTCTGGATGCCTGGGTGGGCGGGGATGTCCAGGTTCTCATCAGCCTTGCACGAATTGATAATTGACTTCACTGGGGGTGGCAGAGGGTGATAGTTGAATTTTTTTTTTTTAATTTATTTTGGCTGCGTTGGGTCTTTGTTGCTGTGAGCGGGCTTTCTCTAGTTGTGGCGAGCGGGGGCTACTCTTCGTTGCGGTGCGCGGGCTTCTCATTGCAGTGGCTTCTCTTGTTGTGGAGCACGGGCTCTAGGCGTGCGGGCTTCATTAGTTGTGGCACGCAGGCTCTGTAGTTGTGGCTCACGGACTCTAGAGGGCTGGCTCAGTAGTTGTGGGGCACGGGCTTAGTTGCTCCGTGGCATGTGGGATCTTCCTGGACCAGGGCTCGAACCCGTGTCCCCTGCATTGGCAGGCGGATTCTTAACCACTGCGCCACCAGGGAAGCCCCTGATGTTTGAATTTTGTCACTTGTTCTGCATTTATTAGCTGGACCTGTTTATATAGATGAACGCTGTCTGGTTGTCCTTAAATACAGTCTGTATGGGAAAGGCAAGACAGCTGCTTAGTTCTTTCTCTTTCATTTCCAATGTTCAGAGGAAGGAAGGAGTTGTTTTTCTTTTTAGGCCTGCGCTTGGCTTTCTCTTTTTCGGGTACAGTTGTGGACTCGCACTGTTGGAGTCTGGACCATCGCCCTTGTCCCCGTGAGCCCTGCTCTGGATTCTCAGGGTGAGTTAGGAGCGCATCCTGGTTTAGGATGGCCCCGTCTTCCTGTGAGTTGGACCTTTTTGCGTGTGGTGACCCCGCTGGCCATGCACAGGCCATTCTTGTTTGGTCTGATGCCACATGGCAACGCCAGCTTTCTTTTAGGGAGTGTTTGCCTGATGGGGTTTTCCTTGTTGGACCACATCTTTCAGAACATGTGTGTCAGGTTGGTCTGTTGTCAACAACATGGAGCTGGATTGTTAAAAAGTCAAATCTCAAGTCTGTCGTCTTCATTTTTTAGCTGGAATGTGTTAGATAGTTTTATGTGAATAGTTATACACACACACTTTTTGTTCCTAACACTTTCTTTTGTGCTTTTACTTGTCAATTTTTGTTTCTTTTTCTCTCCTTGCCTTCTTTTGGATTAATTAAATATAGTTTTTTAAGTTCCATTTTTTGGTTTCTGCTGGTTTGGAAAACACATGCCGTCATTCTGTTCTCTTTGGGGTCATCCTGGAAATGTTAACGTACGGACTTCGCGCTGCAAGGTTAACCCTTGTAACCGCCCTCCTCCTGATGGGTTGCTGCCTCGGGTGGCCTCTCCCCATCCTCCCAGGGGCAGTGTTACCTTGATGAGCTGGTGCTTGCTCACAGGGACTGAGACATGTGCTGCTTTCTCTAGTTCCTGAAAGGTATGTTTGCTGTCTGGGATTCTGGGCTCACAGTCTCCTTCTCTTGGGACGTGAAGGTCCCTGTGTGGCATCTGCCGTTGAGCTGCTGGTGGCAGATTCGCCTGTGCTCCAGCCCTGTGCCTCTTCCCGCATCTGAGAGCGCCACCATCCCCTCTTCCCGTTCTGCGGCTCTGCTGTCTGTCGGTGTCTATGGCATCCGTCTGGGCATTGTGGCCAGCAGCTCTGTGCCTGTGCCCTCCCGTGTATACAGCCTGGGGGTTGCCAGGCCCCTGCGTTACTTGTCGTTTCTCAGACACCTGGCCAACTCCTCGGGCTCCCCGCCTGCAGCCCTGCCTGTGTACCTCCCATTCCGTCCACCTCCCTCTGGTGATTCTGCTTCACCACCAGGTGGACAGGAGCTGGGTGGGAGGATGGCGGTGCAGGGCTGGGGGCCAGGAGGGGCAGCTGCCTCGGCCGACAGTGAGAAGGTCCTGCAGGTCGGGAAGCCACCTGTGCTTTGCGAGGTGCGGGGGTGACCAAGTGGGGGTGGGTCTCGGGCGGGGGCCCCGCAGCGGCTTGTCTGGCGGGTTCATTGTGGCCACGGCCACGGCAGTGGGCACAGGTGCAATGGCCTCTCCCTGCCCAGGGTCGCGTTCTTCACACAGGTTTCCTTCCACGGCTCCTCCTCCTTTCTGTCCGTCTTGCTCCCTCGGGGGTCTTGGGGGGTGTCAGAGCCCACCCTACTCATCCCCAGGCTTACCATCCTGAGCAGCTCCCTGTTCCCCAAGAACATCGCACACAGACCCGCCCTTTCCTTCCCTGGAACCCTCCCTGGCTTCCCCGTCCCCTTGGGCGGCCTCGCCTCTCCTGCCCACTCAGCCGCTCCTGTGGCTCTGCCTTCCGAGCAGTTCCAGCATCGGATTCCTTCTCAGCCTCTGCTTCACCCACACCAACTGCACCCCATCGACGGGTCCCGCCCGCCCCCACCCCACCCCCCACTGTCACACGCTGGTGCCAGGGCGCCAGGCAGAGCCAGATGTGCGTGCGCGCAGCACCTCACCTGCCCCAGCTCCTCACCTGCCCCGGCTGCTCACCTGCCCCGGCTCCTCACCTGCCCCGGCTGCTCACCTGCCCCGGCACTTCACCTGCCCCGGCTCCTCACCTGCCCCGGCTGCTCACCTGCCCCGGCCCCT